CCGTTGTCTACCCCCTGGATCTGCCACTGCACTGACCACATGTTTTTCCTCATTGTAAAGATGAACCGGCAGCTATATTAAAAAAAAAATAGTATAGGTTGCATTCAGAGGCCCTGTTTTTTTGGAAAACATGTATAAGATGAAATCTCTCTTTAATAACCTGGCAGCAACAGAAAACTATGCATTGCATTGTTGAGAAAATAATGGGATTAAGTTTAATATGACAAAGGAGTATGTATGAACACTCTGAATACTGACAATTATCCAAAGTGTGTGACAGCTTTATTATATCTTTTGTGGTTTTTACACTAATCTTTTCTTCTTCTCAACTCTAATTCTTTTCAGTTTTTAGAGATTGATACAAAGAAAAAAGACTTATAATGTATAAATGATGGCATGCACTAACAGTGAGAAAGAGTCTTATTCAGCTCCTCTGTTGTGTTATGTTCTTATCTTCCATGTAATAAGATCTAGTGATTCCCTATGTAGTTGAGTCTGTTGAGCCTTACATGTGCTAATCATGACTATTCTTGATGTAATTTGTATTAGGTCTCAGTTATGCAGAAAGAGCTCACTGCTCTTCAACCAGAACTGATTAAAACTTCAGCGGAAACTGAGAAGATGATGATTAAAATAGAAAAGGAAACCGTGGATGTTGACGCAAAAAGAGAATTGGTCTCTGCTGACGAGAAGGTGGCTAATGAGGCAGCTGCGGCATCTCAGGCAATTAAGGTAGGTACAGCATCAATGTATGGCCATAGATGTGTTGTTAATTGTATTAGTAGTTGTCTGTTATTACCTTATATTTAACTATGGGGCAAAAGCATGTCACTACTTGAAAAAAGAGACTGTATGGCCTTGCTTAAGGGGGTTATACTATGGTGTGGATTGTGGAAACATTGAAGGCATCATCAGATTTACAGGGAATGTCCTTTTAAACCTTACAGATACATAGTGATAAAAGGAGAGAAAAGAAGGAAGACACGTTTGGAAGAAAACATACACTGCATGGCCAAAAATAAACTCACCACCTAGATTTAGCTAAGCAGATAGGTAAGAACTTTCCACTGGATAAGTGTTACGATCTGGGGTTGCTTCAGTTGGTCAGGTATAGATTCAGCAATGTTATGTCCCCTAAAAATGAGGACACCTGCCTACCTGATTATACTGAATGACCCAGATGCCACGGGCATATTCCAAGATGACAATGCCAGAATTCGTCGGGCTCAAATTGTGAAAGAGTGGTTCAGGGAACATGAGACATAATTTTCACACATGGATTGGCCACCACAGAATCCAGACCCTAACCCCATTGAGAATCTTTGGGATGTGCTGGGGAAGACTTTACACAGTGGTCCGACTCTCCCATCATTACTACAAGATCTTGGTGAAAAATGAATGCAACTCTGGATGGAAATAAATGTTTCGAGCATTAGCTTATTGAAATCATGCCATTACTTTTTTTGGGCCAGGGAGTGTATTTAATCCAGAGATTTCCTGGTTTTGGAGGCTGCAAATGCAATGCCATTTTTTGTTGGGTGGGAGTGGTGGGAATCGATGATTTACAGCAGCAGTAAAAAATATATGTCAACAGTTTAAATTGTATAGTGACACACTCCTCAGGCTACAGATTTAGCAAGAGTTTCATATGTATAATATTGCTCAGGGCCTATATAAACAAACAGGTATACATTGATCCAATATCTCTTTTAAAGAGCTGTGTCAACAATAACTGTATGGGGGAAGTACCTTGGGCAGATTTAGCTAGCCTTTGGAGTATCATTGTCAGGCCAAGAAAGTGGGCCGGGAGTGGAACCCCTTGGCAGGGACAAAATATGTCCAAAATCGCAGTACAAAAGGGTAATCTAAATAGAGTAGTTAAGTCCAGTTCGGGGTCGTGGCAGGCAGCAAGAGTCGTAGGCGAAGGGTCAGGCAGCTGGGAAGTCAGTCCAATAAACAGGTTCACAGGAGGGAGCTGGGTGTTCACCATGAGGTAGAATAACTCAGCAATGAGTCCAGGCTCTGACCAGCTTTATATACACAGGGAACCCAGGACCGCCCCCTGGTTGCCAGGGCAACCAGGAAGCTTCCCCAGTCAGGAGCCAATCGCAAGGCCGAGGTCAGTTGGTGAATGCTGGAGCCTGAGTAGCACCTGGAATGTGGGATGGCGCAAGCACACTACATGCGCGCTTCCGGGCATGCGCGCGCGGTTTGCTTACCGTGCGCGGTTTGCGCACCACGCAAACGCACCCGGCGCACGACTCGTGCATGCGCACCAGCCACACCAGCGCCAGATGCCCTGCCAGGAGGCGGAGGAGCCCGTGTACGATGCCCGCGCAGGCGAGCCTGGTGAGGAACGGCCCCCCTGGGTCCTTGACAATCATATGCCATTACATCAGTAGTTTATAGTGACTTTGCCTGCAGTACCCCTTTTAGAGCAACTGAATACTTCTGAAAATCTCTCATATAGGTGATTTATGAGAAGATTGTAAGATGCAGTTGGATGCGATTAACTCATAAACTCAACAGATTCCCTGCTTTGATTACCATTCAAACATAATCTAAATGCTTAACAACATCCCCCATCTTTAAAAAGTGTAGTATTATACTGTAGGATGGTTTTTTCAGGGGTTTGGAGCAGTCTAGAGAAAAGTATCAATAGAAAATGGAAAGCTTTCATAGACTTTCAAACTGATACATAAGGAGTTTCTTGCATGACATGGTAAAATATCAGTTGTGTCACCTTACCTGCATGGTGGTATTAGACCTTTTCTTCTTTTAAAAGGATTTTCCTAGAAAATCAGCATCTGGAGTTTCTCCAGATACACTGCAAAACATATTTTGGAGCCTTAAAGGAGAACTATGAGGTGAGTGCTTTTCACTCACCTCATAGTTCTAGCCGACCAGTGACAATGAGACTGTCACAGGTCGGCTCAGTAGATCGGGAGGTGAGCGAACACATACCGGCGTTCGCTCACCTCTCGATCCCGTCACAGCCCTCTGCCGTGACAGGGGAGGGGCTGGATTCCCCCCTCCCCGCTCCGATCCGCCAGCGCTGACTGGCGGATCGGACGGGAGAGGGGGTGGGTACAGCTGGCTCTGCCTCTAGATAGGCAGAGCAAGCTGTCACTCACGCAGCTGGGCGGATCCAGACATAATTGTCGGGATCCGCTTCAGCTGCGGCGTCTCAGTATACCGCGAGCAGTATACTGTGCAATCACAGTATACCGCGAGCTGTAGCTCGTGGTATACTGAGCTTAGGGTGATGGGAGGACGCTAGTTTGTGTCCTCCCGTTACCCTAAGGAGAACTATGGGGAAAAACCTTAACCTCCTTTAAAGTAAAAGTCAGAAACCTGGGGATTAAGCAGTTTTAAGAGGTATACAGTTCTGAGCACAATGTTCTTTTTGCCACTGCCATACAACCTAATTAGAAGCATAACATGTCATAAAAGGATGTTATGTAGACAATACAGTATTTGAGTAGATTTCCAATAAAAAAGGTAACAATAAGAAGGATTAAGGACTGGTGTAGATTAATGTCAAGGGGTTTTTGACATACAGTTCTTAAAGCCCAACTCTAGTCAAAAATGTTTATGCACTTTTGAATAGAGTGTGGAAGGGTTAGATCTCCTGTCACCTATTTTTTTGCTATTGCGATCCATGTTTGGGAGATTTCTTTTCTCTTACTATTTGTTTGATGAATATCGGACAAAGCAAAAAAAGATATCTCTCCAACTGAGACTCGGAGAGTAATAAATCAATGTTTATGTAATGAGTGGGGGCGCATTAAAATATAATGTAGCTTTTTATTGCTGTGTTCACATGGGGAAATTAATGGGGTTTTGTAATTGTAACTTTTTAATAATGATCATGCTACTGACAGACTTTTTTGGATACATATAGAGTGTGGCAATTCGAAAGGAAAAAGTTACATCCTAACAGACACGGTTACAACTTGTTCCCAATGTTTGTAATGAATATTTAATAGACTGCACTCTTTTACCAAAGTTATTATCAATTATGCAGATATACAGTATATGGGAGTTGTCAGGCTACCCAAGTATTACCAGAGCCCAAGTATGTCTGGATAACATAGCTGTATAGATCTATATCACCCGGGAGCACATAATCTCCCCACAGCAGCATTTTCCACTGAAAGTAGCATGCCTAAGCAAATTATTGATGGGCCTGGGTACTGCCTTGTGTCTATTCCCATGCAAACACAATTAGGAGCTAGTGATACACTGGATCAGTGATCAGGACTAGCAAAGTGGAAACAGGCAGTTTACAGTGTCATACTTAACGGACCATACATACACAGGGCAACTTTCAGCTGGTTCTCAACTAGGGACTGACTGTATGGAGCCTTGTAATGCAGGACCCACCCACATTATTTATATAGCGTCTCCTCCAGTGTACAGCAGCCGCCACACAAAACTGCAACATAAGTCTTGTAGCTCTGTGGCTGTTAACTGATCTGTCTAGTCAGCACCCACTCTCAGCATAGACTGAATCTCTACTACCCCAGCCTCTCATTACTCCATTTTATTTACAACTTTATTTTTTATTGAAACATTTTGTATACAGTAAAAGTATGAGTTGTAAGTCATAAGTTACAA